AGGCATGAGTCAGAGTTGATGTCAATTGTCAAATCAGCTGTCTCAATCAGTTGATAGTTCATTATTTCATGGCCACATAAAGACCAGTTTCCCCAAACCTCTGTACTGCTGACCTCTTTCCTGGAACACAGACCCTTATCCTAGCCACTGTCCACCCAAAACTTCTACCATAGGGCCGTCCAGACATCCCAAACTCACGATGTCCACAAATGTCATTATTATTCTTTAAAAACTGTCTTCTCCTCTAGTCCTGGCCCATGTTACTGGCACCCACCCAACAGCTCGGGGCACAAACCTCACTCCCTCTTTCCCCCCCAAAATCCGCCTGGCCACGGCTACCAGCTGCCAGATGACTCTTGAATCCCTCCCCACCTCCGCTTCCCTGCTGCCCTCAGCCAAGCCCCATAACCTGACTCCTGAACTGTGGTAACTTCTTAACTCCCCTCGCGCTGACTCACAGCCAGAATTAGGGCACCTAATGCCAGTCACCCAGAGCACAGCAGAGCAAGTTTTTCCCTGTCTGTGGGAATCCTGTCTGCCTGATCTCCACTCTGTCTCCTTTGTGTGCCCAACGCTGACACTTAGCACGAGGCGAGCAACAAATGACCCCACGAGCGAGTGACTGCGTGGATGAGATGGCCGGCACTCTCAGGATTGAATCCTGCCTCCAGCCACAAACTCACATCAATGTGTGTCTGAACATTTGTCACTGGAGGAGACATAAAGACACAGTGACTGGAGTATCACACCCAAAGGCAAGCCGTCTTTCCCCACACTGATGTACCTACTCGTGTCTACAGCTGTATATTCTTACTCTACCTACCAGGATGCGGCTATTTTCTGACAAACATCCAGAATTGTGGGTGGAACTGTCTCTTTCAGAAAAGAACTACTGAAAATGCAAGGGACAGTTCTTCTAGACACTTTTAGACATAAGGGCCACACACACCAGCATCTTCAAGACCTCTGTGGCCTGGGAAAGGGGTAGGCCTTGCAGAGAGAAACCAAACCCCAACGGTCTGAAACAAGGCTACCTTCTGTGGCCGCCCACTGTGGAAATCCAGAGGAGCCCACAGTCACACAGGAAGAGAGGCAGTTCCACCTTACGTAACCAGGTATACGCAATCCTGTCCATTTGTTTGTGAAACTAAAAATTTGCAGTAGGAGTGAATGACAATAACATTCTTCCCCTCCATTGAGGCAGTCTGTACCTAAAGAAAAACTCATTAACCCCAGGCAGTGAGCAAAAATACCTAGGTTTGTCCCATAAAGCCATTCCAAGCAGCCTCGGGCCAGCCTTCCAGACCTTTCCCACCATACCAACACAGGACAATGGCATGTCAAAGACTCCTGGGGAGAGGGAGGGCTACCTACACTTAAACCCTAGGACGTGACCCTTTCTGTGTCTGTGCCTCCATTTTCTCGCATTCAAATGGAGGTGAGAATAGCCCTACCGGGCAGGACTGTGTTACAGAATTCAATTGTGAAACACCAATTCAAAAGGACCTATGCAGCCCTGTGTTCCTAGCAGCGTTCTTTACAGTAGCTCAGTGCTGGAAACAGCCTAGGTGCCCATCAATCAATAAGTGAGATCAAAAAACCATGGTACATTAACACAATGGAATACTGCGCAGCAGAAAGAGAGAAAGAACTCCTACCACTTGTGACAGCAAGGATGGACCTAGAGAACATTTTGCTAAGTGAAATAAGCCAGGCAGCAAAAGACAAATATCATATGATCTCATCTATAAGAGGAACCTAATGAACAAAGCAAACAAATGAGCCAAACAGAACCAGAGGCATGGAAACAAGGAACAGACTGACAGGGACTAGAGAGGATGGGGAGGGAGGGAAGGGTGGAAAAATGGGGAAGGGACTAATCACGGAACGTGTATGAATGACTCATGGTCATGGACAGCAGAGTAGGGACTGATTGTGGGAGCAGGTGGGGGTTGTGTGGGAAGTGGAGAGCAATGGGGAAAAAATTGGGACACCTGTAATAGAACAATGACATTCAAATAAAATAAAATACAAAAATAAAAATAAAAAAGTTAATTCTTAGCACAATGTACGGCCCAGTAAATGTCAGCAATAGTAATATAAGTTATAATCATAATTATAATACGGCTATGATATATCAGCCCTCGTATGAACTTCTTCTCCTTATTGAGAAGAGCAGTTTTCATACTTTAGCTCCAGAAGCATCTGGAAGGCTTCCTAGAACTCAGACTTCTATGTACCAGAGCCTAAGAAGGAGAACCCTCCATAAATGCTGACTGATGGAATGAACACTGAGAGAGTCAAAGGCATCCCTGGAAAACCAAGCAAACTGGAGACCAGCTTGCGGGCCTTCAAGCTTAGAACTGTCCACTGGACATGAAGGGCCCCAGGCCCCCATGAGCCCAAAGCCCTCCCACCCAGCTAGAAGGCTCTTCTACATCCCAGAGACCATGAGCTCTTTGGCTCCAACCAACAATTGTTCCTTTCAGTCTGTAAAGGTAACGGAGCCCAGCTTCTGGCCTCTCGCTGGCACAGGTCCTGCTGCTGCGACAAGCTGCTGGAAGATGCTGAGTGTTCTTGGGGACACGGAAGCCAGGCTGCAGTCAGGAAGCAGTACTTGGTAAGCATTTCTTGTAGCTGGCCCAAATCGCTCTCAGCAGAGGCAGAGCTCTCCAGTGAATTGTCACTGCTTTTTCTCATTCTCAATATGTATTCGCTTTGATCACTTATTTTGCATTATTGTTCTTCAAGACGATTCCAAATTTGCTTACCTTTTAAAAACATTTTTTTTCCTATTACATTTTACATCCGATGTTATTTTGTATCCCTGGTTTCAAGTACTGACCTTTTGGTCTCACAAAATCTAGACTGGTCTCTGTTTCATACTCCACGTCCTCTGCTCCTTGACCCTTTGGCTTTTCTAAGGTTTTCTTCCATTCATCACCCACCCTGCCCTCCAATGACAGCATCTTAAGGCCAACCACACCTTTATACACACCTTCTAGGCAGGATTATACAAGCTTCTAAAGAGGAGCTCGAGGTGTGTTATCAATGTCATGGTCAAAAGCAAGTACCAGGCAGAATACCTTGTCTGGTCATCCCAACACAGGCTTTAGAAAGACTTTCTTCAACAAAACACACTTTCATCAACTTCTTATGTGAATTGAAATGTAAAACCCCTCACATTTCGTGTGTGGTCACCGATGAGTATAAGGAAGTTTTGAAGAAAACAAGTATTCTTCGTGTTAGAAAATGTATTAAAATTCTAAGCACTCTCATATTCTCACCCCATGCAGGATAACAATTTCAATATGAAAATCACTTTTGGGGTTTACGCACACTTAAAGAAAGTGTCAGTTTAGCTGTTATGGTTCCTTTACTCAAAGACTAAATTAGGAATTTTAGGATTTCTTTCCAAAGAAGTTGTAGTGCTCCACATTTCCAGAGATAGATTTAAGGGAAAAGAGATATGCCTTTTAAAATAAGTGTCAGCTATATGCGATTATAGATTTATACACCAACACAAAGTCCTTTCTAGGTGGCAACACTCTCCTCTGTTCACCTGGAAGCAATGGGATCAATTTATATTGAATTATATACTGAATTTATATACTGAATTATGTAAACATATAAATTGAGCTGAATTATATAAAGCACGTGAATAATATGAAAATTAGCTGTTACTTCAATGTATAATACATAAGGCATACACGTCCAGTTTCACTTATTTGCCCCAGTTGGATATATTAGGTCCTTAAAACTATGTTAAGAAAGACACAGTAAAAAAAAAAAATTGACATTTTAAAAATAGCTGTTCATCGTCTTGCCACAGATTGGTCCTAGTTTAACCACACAAGTAGAATGAAAACAGTGCTCATTTTATTCCTGACAGCCGCTTCAACTCCCAGGATGTGGATGGTTTCTGAATGTGAATTTAAATTCTTATTCCCACAAAGTCTTCCAGATTTACAATGCCTCACGGGGCATGGAATGGGGAATGGGCAAGGACCTACAGCCAGAAATGTCCCTGTTCAATTCCCAGGTCCACTGTTACCTTCAGCAAAGTGCCAGGTCCTTCCCTGCCTCAGTTTCCCATCTGCACAGGGGGAGCAATATCTACTTCGCATATTTATACAACCAGATAGGGTGCTCAGCGCGAACCCTCGGCCAAGAGTTGATTCTTAGCAACCTTATTTTAAGGGCGGTTTTTGATAAGCCTTGTGACTCTCAAGGACAGACCGGGCTAATGACATTCTTCGTAGATTTACATTCTTCCTGCCTTCACATGCTTATTACCAGGGATTAAAGAGGAGGCGCCAAAGCAAAAGTAGGAGGTGCCATTGGTCTCCCTCTGAATATCTACCAGTGAGGAAGAGCACCCTAAAACTCGCCTTTGTGTGCGCACCTGTGCACACCAGCCTGGCTCGCCCGGAGTTCCCCCCTAACAGGCGTACAACAAATATTTGTTAACCTGAAAGGCTGCTGAGCCAGGTGAAAATGAATGCTAATGGGAATCACGATCCACAGCGCTGTTCGCGCTTCCGCGTCCCCGAGTCAGGCTTCCTAAGGTCCCCAGCTTCCCCGGTAAGCTGTACGGTAACTGGAAGTGCACGCTGCAGAGGTCCTTTCCAAAGCACACTCACGAAGCATCTGGACCCGGCTGAAACCCTCAGACGTGGCACAGAAGGGTCGTCCGCGGGGGGGGGGGGGTTCTAACCCAGTTTAGAGAAAAGTGACCTCTAGCAGAAGCCGTCAGCGCGCTGTTTGCTTAGCAAAGGGACAGTGCGCGGAGCAACTAATTGCGGAAGCAATTTCTTCTCAACTTCACCACTACCACCTTTCTTTTTTTCTTTTTAGTGTGATGAGGCACTGGACCCCACACCACTGTAAGGCGTTCTGCTCTCCTGAGGCTGAGCAAAGGTCTGGTTAGGGGATCAAAATGGAATCTTCGGGTCCCCATGAAGGGACCGCATCAGGTCCCACCCGAGTGAGGGACTAACCTCTCCAGAGAATCCTGGTGGTGGCCGTGAGGTGACTAACTCCGCTGCGCCCGGACGAGACCCAATGTGTCCTATCAAATGCAAAGAAATTGGAGGCAGGTCACCCCGCACACACCACACCCCGAGCACTCCTGGCACCCCACACCTCAGATATCTACCTCCTGGCTTCAACACAGTGACCCCCAAACAAGCAACTCTCCCGTAGTAGCTGCTCTGACTTCCCTCCCTAGTCTCCAACTCCCCACTTTGGCTGAGCAGAAGCCAGCCCGCAGGAAAGAGCTGGTAGCGACCCCGGTGCACGCTCGCGCGCACTGCCAGGTAAGCCCGGCAGCACCCTCACCTGTCCAAGGCTGCGTCCCGAGGGCTGCAAAGGGGACCACCGTGCGCCCCTCACGTGCGCGGAATCTACAGCCAACGTAGCCACCGCTGGCCCGCGCTGGCAGCAGCTCAGACGCGGCAGGGGCGGGGGCTCCGCCGGGGCCGCCCCACTTCCTTGGCCCGGCACGCGAGCCCCGCCTTCAAGGGGGAGGAGGCGGCACCGTGCGTCACCTTGGCGGGGTCTCGACCAGAGCGCAGCGTCGTAACTCTGTCCGGCTGATGCAAGCAGGCGTAGGTGCGCGGTTCTGGGAGCTTCGCTGGGCAAAGAGAGAGAGGTTAATGTAGCTCATTTGAGCTTGGCCTGGCTCAGGGGAAAGGCAGCAGTGCCCCAAAAGTCTGGCAGTGGTGGGAGAGTCGCGTTCCCTCGCGTTTTAGTTCACAGTCAGGAAAGAAGGCAAGAGGGGCTTGCTGACTTAAAATTGCATAAGAGCTTGTCTTCCCTGATCCTCAAGTAAGTACACCTTGCTCCCGTGGGTCTGGAAGGATCAATGGTGAGAGAACAGGCTCCATTTTTACTGCCCCAACCCCGGCCAGAGGTGCCAGAAATCAGGCCACCCACAGAACTGGTGTTCTGTGTGCACAAGAATATAACCTCGTCATGTTTTACTTTTCAGGTATTAGTGAGACAGTCCCTAATATCCCTGGTGTAAGATGTGGAAAAGAAGCATGAAATAACCAAGCAGCGGGAACCGAGGAAAATAGAGAATAAAAGAAATAGGAAAAAACGGCAACTGTACCTGCAACGCTGACTAACAACGGAGTTAAAATAGTAAGTGAACCCACAAAAAAAGCTTTTTCCTTCTAACTCCTGCCACAGTGCAGTTCCTGTTCTGTGGTTCCTGCAGCCCAACCGCAAGTCCAAGTTGACTAACAGTATTTTTCAATCATTGAATATTACAGAAAGTGAGACATTTACAGAAAGGAACTCTAAAATCAGATGGTCTTCCCGCATTATATTGCATTCCTCTGTGCAGCTGCATTGAGGTTTGTTGGTTGTTTTTTTTTTCTTTCAATTGTCCCAGCATGCTACCTGCCTCTTTCTAGTATGCTTTGGGCAAGGAAGAGTATGATAATGCTGTTGCTTTCACTGATTTAACTTCCCTACCAAAGCACAACCCCACTTAGGACAGCAGTTGGACTCCTATGCAGCTGATACATGTTCCATACACGGTTGTCACATTGACTTTCTTGATTTAAACAGGTTTTGAACCGGCCCTTCATAGGCACTGTTGATGGTGTCAAAATGGCTCCTTGTTGAAAAACAAAATCTGCATTTATAATGGGCGGTCTTCTCTGCCTTGCCTTCTGAATTTACGGAGGCAAGGAGGTAGCTGGCCTCTTAAAAACAGGCCCATTATCAGTCTGGTGATTGATAATGGGACCTGTGCCAGCGTCCCATCAGATACAATTGCTTTCACTCCCGAGAGCACACGTGGCGCGCACGTGGCAGTCTAACAAGTTCACCTGTTCTTGCAGCTGGCAAATGCCCGGTGGGTCTTCTGCGAATCCATGCCTTCCTCTGCTGCCACCGCTGGTGCTGCCCTTCGCACACTTGGCAGCTCGGCAGTGGAGGTGTGCCAGCAATGTCACTGTACCCGTTTGAGTGAGCCACAGCCATTTAAATAGGACGCGTTTCAGTGTCTGGCATCACCTAGAGTCCTTGCCCCTGGTGTGAGAAGGCTTCTCTAAGAGACAGAAGAGCCCATTTGTAAATGCACAGGAGCAAGGGCTCCAGCTGTTCTCTACTCCTGGGGAACCAGGACAGGCCTGCCTGTGTCATCCTACCAGAGCTGACCCGGAGGCAGTCCAGCCCTGTTCTGGCTGGAGAACTCATGGTGACTCTTGTGAGTACAAGGCCCTTGAATGCCCCAGAGAATGGTTTCTGAGATCTGCTAAGGCCTTAGCACCAAGCACCCCTCACATTTTCCTTTGTGTCGTTTCTGGGCAAATGGAAACTGAAGTAGAAAAACAGTGGAGATGTAAACATACAAATCTCTGCCCTGGCTGGTGTAGCTCAGTGGATTGAGCGTGGGCCTGTGAACCAGAGGATCGTGGTTCGATTCCTAGTCAGGGCACATGCCTGGGTTGCAGGCCAGTTCCCAGCAGGGGACATACGACAGGCAACCATACATTGATAATTCTCCCCCCTCTCTCCTTCCCTTCCCCTCGCTCCTTCCCTTCCCCTCTAAAGATAAATAAATACATAAAAATTAAACATATAAATCTTGATCTTCCGGGGTGTGAAGCCAGCATAATAGTTCAGACAAAGTGGAGTTCATTGTCCAAGGGACAGGTGCTCAGTGTGTTATGAGGAAGCATCTGTACTCGGTTCGTGACCCTGAGAGAACAGCAAACCTTTTCTTGTCAGTGCAAAGAGTTTTTGTTATTATATTTACTCACATTTTTTCCCATTGTAGAATCGTCATAACAGGTGAGAGAAAACATCTTTTTCTGTAGCAGGTGCAGAGAGACCAAATTTAGCAACTCAATCCAAACCAAACTCGGCCATGGAACTAGCGATTGGGGTTTCCTGCAGGTGGCTGGTAGCGTTTCGTTTTCTTGAACAAAGGAGGTGCCGTCCCAGAACAGGGGTTCTACTTTCTAATTACTCAGAAAGAAAATTATTTTAAAGCCTTCCTTTGGAAACCAACACCAGCATTTCATTGTCTTACTGATTATAATCCTATGGAACAAATTATTTCATGCCTAGACATATATTGAACATTGAACATAAGCTAGTTAGCTGGGAATGTTCACAGTGAGTAAGTTGCTTCGAGTTACACTTTGGTGGATGTTATAGCTTTTATGGGTAAGCACTGCATAGCCAGGGTGAACATCTGGTAATAGTTGCATTTAAAATGTTAAAGTTATTACAGGCATGGAGTCTAAACCTAAAAAGATTTAGTCCCTCTCTCATCAGGGGGGTGAAGCAAATCCAAATTGCCTTGATTAGGTGAAGCTTCCCCTTACTCATCACCAACATTTTTGCCTGGTGATGTGAATTCCATCCACTTAGTGAATAGCTTGAACCTTCCCCCAGATGCCTACAGGGCAAAGGACTGATTCCTACCGTACAGTGTTGCAATGAGCCTCGGGGAATGGCCTTCATTGGGCCTGTTGCCCTTGGCCATAGTGAAGAATCTCTTACAAACAGCCTTGAGCACTGGGAATGTTGGTCAGGGTTGTTTTTAAAATTCAGGTCCCCATTTTAAGATGATCGGGGGCAGAAGTTTTCAGTCCACTCAGGAATACAAAGCTCGGCTTCCCTGCAGCAGCTGGCTGGTTTGCACCCCCTGGCTTCCACAGATAAACGCAAGTGACTTCATTTCTCTAATTTTATTACTGATGTGCTCAGAGTGGCCTGCGTCGGTCCAGTGTCCAGAAATGCTCTTTTTGTACGTTGTGTAATAGACTTGTATTTTGCGACCTCATTTTGCAATGTTGGAGATGAATGAAACAAAAGGAAACTTCAAGAGCAGAATATTAGGGTGATGCTCCATTCTCTGTGCAATCAGATGTCCACTTATTGACACACTAATTTGCACAACTAACTGTACGAAGCAGCGACACATGTAGGGTCAGACATGAGGATGCCTGCAAGGGCCAGGCCTGTGAGGTAAATGCGTGACTGAGACCACATACAAGAAAATAGACAGGGTCACACACTGCCTAGGACATGCTGTCCTACAGGCCTTATTGCAAACTCTGTACAGGCCAGATAATGCAGGTGACCTGAAGCCAGGTGGCCGAGAATGTCTCCCAATCAACAAGGTGTGGCGCTCTAAGGTAAACACTGGGAAATAAGTTTAAGGCAGCCACCGCCCTCCAGGGGCTCACACTTTGGTGAAGGGAAAAGACTTGGAAATGAATAAGCATTACAGTGGTCAGGGGGAGGAGGTCTGCTGGCAGCACCTGCAGGCCGGGCCCAGCCAGGAGACCAGGTGGAGGGTGTACAAAGCAACTAGCAGGAGCGTGACTCCACGCAGCCCAGGCCCTGAGCAGGGTGAGCCCTCACTCACATCCCTGGGATGAGCAGACGCCAGCCAGCGAGAGAAGGTCATTTCGAAGAGTGGAGCCAGACGTGTTTAGCAGTAATTAACATACAGATGCTTAGGCAGAAATAATAAGAACACTCTGGGTGGAAGACATTAACTAACTTTGGACTTCAAGTCTCCAGACTATCTGTGGGACTGCCTGGGACATGTAATTCCAATAAGTTTTAATTCTTCCAGCCTCCAATTACTGTCTGTAATGGTGACCTACAAAGAAAGTACAGAATCACTAATTAAGGGATTGAAAAGTAAGCAGGAAGCACATGAGCCTTTATTAAGTGCATAATAATAATATTTTCAAGCTGGCTTGCTATACAATTACCTCTTTTATAGATTTTTTTTAGGGACATCTTTTTAATGACTGTTGTTGATGCTTCCTAAGAAAACGTGGACCTAAAATAAAACTAAAATGCTAGTAAGAAACACAACTTTAAAATTAAATGACTTTCTTAACTTCCAGTATTCAGGTGCTCACTATTTTTTCTCACTGGGAAACATCTAACTGTACTGAAAATTATACATTGTATAAAGGGCTTATTCTTTTTAAAAAAAATGTGTAGTTTGAACTTCCTATTGTCTTGATTTTTAAAATAAAGAATGGGAAGGACAAAAGATATTTTAGATCATTTAAAAATAGGAAGTTTCTCGGCCCATTCTCCCAATGGCAGACATAGTGGGGTATGGTCTCGATCTTCTACTATGATTTTCATTCGTACCCACCCTCAGTGGCTTGTGACCTAGCTCTGCCCTCCTGATGGTGTCTGGTGACTTTGATGAATTTGTAAAATGCAGCTGTTATAGGTACCTCCCATTTGAAAAGCCCAGCCTTGTATTGCATACTGGGTATGTATCGCCATACACATCATTGGTACCACAAGCTGAGGGATTCCCAAAAAACTAACATAGGGATCCAAGTTACTAACGTAGGAGATGAAAACATTCTGTGGCTTCGTGACTTAAAGCCTCATTTCTTATACACTGTATCTCAGGAGTGCCAAACTCATTTTCACCAGGGGCCACATCAGCCTCATAGTTGCCTTCAAAGGGCCAAATGTAATGTTAGGACTGTGTAAATGTAACTATTCCTTAACTAGGGGCAAGGCGCTCGGGGCTGCTACCAGGTAGAAACAAGGTGCAGGGCCAGATTCCGCCCATGGGCCTTGTGTTTGCCCCCTGTGCTCCCTCCCCCCCCCCAACTAATAAAAACTAATCACTTTTCTTGAGAATCAAGCAAATCCCAACATCTTGTTACTTCACGTGAACAGACTATTTTAGCATAGTATTGGGTTGGCCAAAAAGTCTGTTTAGTTTTTTTTCTATAAAATAAAAGGCATTTTTCATTTTCACCAATAACGTCATCAATTTGGATATTTTGAGCATATTGGCTGTCTCCTGCTATTGGCTTCTAGTGGGTAGAGACCAGGGAGGCCGCTAAACACCTTCCAGTGCCTGAGGCAGCCCTGCAGCAAGGAATTATTTGGCCAAAATGTCAGTAGTACCAAGAAACTTTACAAACCACTTTTGACATGTTCTATCCGTCACAGCACCTTCTCCGTACACTGCACAATTCTGTGGGTGTGTTTCAGTTGCATTTTTTACCTTTCTTGAAATAATAAAGCATAATACACCAAAAATGGCGCATACCTTCTTCTGCCTTCAATATTAAAATGGCTGCACAAAAATTCACCAATTTTGATCAGTTTTTTTTAATTGCATGCTGATAGGACAGTTGTCACAATATAATCTAACAATTGTTTTGACGCTAAAGACAGCGAAGCACTACTAGAACCATCATATGGAAAAAACCCAACCGACTTTTTTCCTAACCCAAAACACAAATTTCAGTTTTGTTAAAGAGCCTGAGAACTGGGAGTCAGGAGTAGGCTCAGAGGACCAGCATTTACGCTAGGAGGGACACTGCCCTCTTGTCTGCTTACATTTTGCGTGGCTCTGAAGTTCACATTGTAGCGAGGTGTGTGCTTCAGGAGGCCATGTCCCCGACTTGCTGGAAACTTCCATGGTCCTGTAATGATGAAACATGGCAGGAGAATTAGCAGCACCGTGAAAAGTGTGACTGGACATCTAAAGGGTGGAAATTAAAAATGAAAAGGCAAGTGATCAATGAACAGTGTGGGGAAGCGAGCTGGCATTTAAATTGGCCCAGTAAAACCAGACCATCAGGGTGAGAAAATCAAAACATCTGAGGATAAGGAAGTCAGGTGGGCCCAATATAATCCAAGAGCAGACCGCGTGTAGCCCTCAGACAGCAACGTGGGTATTTTCTTCTTTGTGATCACACCTTTCTCAAGACAGACCTATCGCTGCTGTTTTGGGGAATACAGCAATACTTGTCTTAATGAAGACTGATTTTGGGGTGACGCTTCTCTTTACATTGGCCTTTGGAGAGAGCATGAGCTTTTTGGCCATTTGAGTAGTTAGCAGGTTTGCTTCAAGGGTCCCTACTGCTAATGATGAACCTCCTCAGCTTCCCTTAAATGGCAAAGATTGCTTCTGGCTGTGTGGCCACCAAGCACCTGCATTTCTTTCTGGGCCTTAATGGGTCAGACCACAGCTGCCTCCCACAGGAAAATGCTCCTGACATTACACTGAACTATGGGGGTACCCCCAGCCACCACAGATGAGAGTAATCATGACTGAGATGTGATGTGATCTGCTTGGGGAGGAGAAGTGGCCATTTTCCCAGAGGAAAAAGGCCATGAGCAGTGGCCAGTTTCTCAGGGGAAAAAGGCGTTCAGCTCCCTCCTCTAGGGGCTTTTATTGGGTTGTAATACACAGGAATACAGGGTGGCAAGGATCAAACAGTAGATAACATTTCAAAGGGCTTAGTCTGAGTCAGAGTCTGTCAGGAACAGAGTTTTAGGCTCTTCTGCTCGAACCCTTAACATATGAATGAAAGCACTCTTAGCAGAGCAGATTTCACAGGTTTATCAGCAAGTCTTTGTGATGCCAGATTTTCCCCCAGGACACACTCTAGCAAGACAAGGAGCTGCACCTCTGCCCATCAGGTATTCAGGCTTAAGGGGATCAGAGCCAGGAAGCGCTTCTCCCAGAGAACATGGGGACTTGGGCTTTGTCAAAGCTGGGGGGTAAGAGCCCATTGCTCTTTGATGCAGCCCCCCCCCCAGTCCTTCCATGAAGGCCTCCCAAGTAATCGAGTCTGGCTTAGGTTGCCCCCCCCCCTGCAACCTAAGGAAATGAGGGGTCTTACCTGTCATTGACTTCCGACCAAGCTTTGGGGGCAGGGAGAGGAAACTGAGGCAGGCTTGCTACCAGAGACAGGCTTTGTCTCCTGTGGCTGGCATTGTAAAGGTCGTCCCTGACCCTTAGCCACAGGGTGTCGAGATACAATTCCTAGAACCAGGCAGAGTGGTCTGCAGCACTGAACTGTGACCCTCACCTGCAGCTCTATGAAGCTCTTCACTAGGGAGCCCAGTGTCTTAGCCTAATTTCATCTCAACCGGCAAGATTTCTTCCTTCCACTGCCCACATATATGAAATCCAGTGTCAGTTCAGTCCGATGACCATTCACTACATGTCTTCTGGCAGGGCAGCCATAAGGAATCCAAAGATGAATGAAATAATATGCATGTTCTTATTAAAGGGTAATTTTCTAAGAGTGGTCAAATCACGGCTACCACACAGTTGTAAAATGAACACATGGCAGAGGTTTTACTTGTTATTAATGAGGGAACCTTATTAAGACGTTACACCCAGTTCCATGAGAGAAGGAAAAAATCACCCCACGGATGTATGTGGATATTGGTTCACAAACTGGTCCCCATACAAGGAGGACAAGGGCAGACCAAAGGCAGAGGCAGGCCACTTGAGACTAGCGGGTGGCAGATTTAACTAGGGAACTCTGCCCCTGCCCGCCCGAATCTTAAGAGCTTTTCTAGAGGCCCTAATGGGATTCAGTCACATACTGTTCTTAGGGTCTCAACAACCCCTTTCTCTCTCTAGGCTGCGTGCATCCTTGGAAATGACTCCCAGTGGGGAAATAGTGGGCAGAAGGGACACACTGAGGACAGGGAACTGGGGAGGAGTCTCTGATGGCCTGGGTCCAGCTCAGGTGCCAACGGGTGGACTCTCTTCAGTGTCTCTCTGCAACAATGGGGTAAAAGAAGGTTACAGTGAGCCTGCAGATGGCTGCAAACCTGCCGTGTCCAGTGCTGGAGGGGAAACTCGTTCCGTTTGCATAATAGACACAGGAATGATTTGCACTGCTGTTAATCATCTAAAATTTACCAAGCTATAGTTCAAGGGCAAAGAAAGGCTAAAATCAGACAGTCTGGGAGGTTCTGTCATAGACAAGGCATAGCTTTCCGTGGACGCACGTATTTGTCTCTGCGCCTTAATGAGAAGAGAGGTTAACAATTAGCAAGCACCCATGTGCTGTCTCAGTGAAAAATGCTGTGAAATCCGCCTGTCCACCTCGGGTGATTAGTTATTAGTGCCTAATGTTATTATGGAAGCATACTGTAGAGAAATGCTCCGGGTCCCTGCAACTAAGTTGGAAAGCTGGGGATTATTTCTACTTCTATTTCATGATTCCGAAGGCTCCTCCTCAACCTGGATAATACTGCCCCCAAGGAAGTTAGGGTCCGATGAAGGGGATGGATAGTACCCCAGGTTCCTGTGCGCCTTTCACCAAGGCTGCCCACTGGCAAAGTCTGAAAATACCACGGTACATTTGTCCCAGTTAAGAAAATGGCATTGAACTTGACCTTATCTGAGAAGCACTTTATCTGCCTCTCAATTATCATCACCAAGCCCTTATTATATGAAATGTTAAAGAAACTTATCTAAGGAAAAGAAGATAAAAAAGATGAACAGTGAAAGGACAGCAAACTTACAGTTATTAACAACCACAGCTAAAACAAAAGCAAACTAAGCAGACAGCTAGATCAGGAGCGGAACCATAGAAATGAAGATCACATGGAGGGTTAGCAACAGGGGAGTGGGAGGAGGAGAAGGGGGGAGAAGGTACAGAGAATAAGTAGCATAGACGGTAGGTAGAAAATAGATGGGGGGGCAAGAATAGTATGGGAAATATAGAATCTAAAGAACTTGTGACACATGGAAATGAACTAAAGGGGGCATCTGGGGGGGGGTGTGCAGGGTGGAGGGGAATGAAGGGGGGAATGGGACAACTGTGATAGCATAATCAATAAAACATTTTTTAAAAAGGAAAAAAAATGACATTGGTATTTACTGTCCCCTAAAGTCCCCATTTTATTTCAAGTTCATCCATTCACCAAGTTCAAGTTTTTTCCATTAATGGGCTCTTTTGTTCCAGGCCCCACACCAGGGTGCCAGGTTGCATTGCTGTTCCATCTCTCCGGTCTCCTGTGGCAGTTTTTCTCTTACTCGTGACCTTGACAGCTTTTAAGGAGTCCTGACCAGGTGCACTGTACAATGGCCTGTTGTTTTTCTTTTGATTAGAAGGCGATGTCATTTTTTAGAAAGGTACATCTAGGTGAAGTGCCTTTATTTTCACATCCAGCTGGGGGGTGTGCAGGGTACAGAATCCCCACAGGTTATCACCAGTGCTGTTAACCATCATACTAGAATTTGTCAGCATTTTTGAGATTCAATGTTGGGTCTTGCTTGGGCATTTCATCTCGAGTACGTGGTGCGTGGGATTTAGAAGGCAGGTACAGACCTTTGTCCTACACGCTGTTTCCTCTCTCCATGAGTCAGTGGCCTGGTGCGCCTCAGAGCTGGTACCCTCCCCCCGAACAAGAATGAGCAAGAAAAACCGCAGGCCCTAGTAAAGGGTGCTTGCCTTACCTCCACACAAGTCAGAGCAGGGGGAAACGCTGGGGCTTCCAGGAATTCGCAACTCTGCAAAGTCACGCCTCGCCCCTCCTCCAGCAAGCCCCGTAAACTGAGAGCCAGTCCTGGGCAAACTCAAGGCCACTGCAGTGACGTCAAGGGACAAGGTAACTTTCAAAATGAAGGTTGTGTCTCAGACTCTCCACGCCCACCCTCAGTCCTTTTAGACACATCTAGTGGTACTGATCTGTTTCGAAAGAGACTGTTGCCCTCTTTTTCAAGGAATAAAAAATCCCATTTCAGACCTTCCTACATAAATTCATGTAAGCAAGGCGTTTTCTAAAAAACAGCCTGTACCATGGACTAAAACTAATGTCTCTTTCTTTTTAAGGTGTTTTTTCTTCACTTACAGAGGCAGTCTTTCTTTATAAAGATGACATATTTTAAGGAATTAAATCTCTGCCTGCATGGACCATTTCGTATTTTTAAAAAAACAACTCATTTCAGGTGAGTTTGAGAGAAGATATGGAACAAAGGAAAGTGATTTTTTTTTTATTTGCTTCTTGTATGGCTGGTTTACAATAGGCTGTGCCCACTTCCTCTTAGGGGAAATAAGAGAGGCTATGTGCCCAGGGAATAGGCTTAAATATATAAAGTTTGGCCTCAGGCCGCTGTCTCCTATTCCAGCTTCTCACGGGCTGAACCTTGGGACGGGGGCCCGGTGGATCATGCAAAAGACAGGATTCGCTGCCTGCAATTACAGCTTCACTAAAGGACACGTTTCCCAGTTGTGCCTACACAGGCTTTTGCTGTATTTTGGATGTTAACTGGAGATCAGGAAGACCAGCACAGATCAGGCTATTTAAGTAAATCTTCAAAATGAGAACTTTCGATAACTTTTAGTCTATTAAGTGGGTGAATTCCATTTCAGGCACAGAGGCACAGAAGGAACTGTCAAAGCACTCTTTCACAGAGCGTGGTGAACTTGAAAATCAGTTTCATTGGGTTCGAGTGTATTAAATGTGTTAGTATTCGAAATAGATCCTACATTAGTATTGGTTGTAACTCTCACTCTAAAAAAAATTAAGCTATAGATCTTACCAGAATTCATCAATTTAGTGTTTCCTTAGAAGGAATGTTTCTAACTACCAGGTTAGCCAAAAACTTTGTTGTGTTTTTTCCATATGATGGCTCTAGTAGTGCTTAGTTGTCTTTAACTTCATTCAGAACAATTGTTAGATTGTGACAGCTGTCATATCGGCATGCATTTAAAAATAACATCAAAATTGGTGAGTTTTTGTGCAGCCATTTTAATATTGAAGATGGAAGAAAATATACAACCTCTTTGGCATATTGGGCTTTATTGTTTCAAGAAAGGAAAAAACACAATGGAAACGCAAAAAAATATTTGTGGAGTGTATGGAGAAGGTGCTGTGACTGATGGAACATGTCAAAAGTGATTTGCAAAGTTTCTTGGCACTAGGGACGTATTAACCAAATAATTCTCTGCTGCAGGCTTGTCTCATGCATTGGAAGATGTTTAGCAGCCCCGGTGGCCTCTGTCCACTAGAAGGCAATAGCAGGAGACAGCCGACACGCTCAAAATATCCAACTCAATGAAGTTATTGGTGAAACTGAACTACGTGTCTTATTTTACAGAAAAAAAAACATAATGGACTCTTTGGCCAACCTAATAAAGCTTCATCTATTTTTAGTAGGTCAGGGCCACTCAGGTGACCTCTTTTTTCTTGCATAAGTTTATTAGTTTGTCTTTCAAGTAACTTGTTTAAATAATCTACAGTGTTAAATTTATTGGCATAGAGTTATTTATAAAATTCCCTGATATCCACTAATATCCGTAGCATTCGTTGTGAAGCAATCTGTCATTAGTATGTGGGTCTTTACTCTTTGTATTCCACACCACCTGTTTCGTGAACATTATATATAATTAATTTTCTCAATTTTCATTTTCTTTACTTTCTCTATTATTTCCTCTACTGTCTCATTTATTTCTATTTGTGATCTCTGTATTTGCTTTCTTCTACTTATTTTGGGTCAGATGTGCTCTTTTTCTAGAACTTTAAGGAAGAAACGTCAGTCATTGACTTGAGAAATTTGTTCTATTTAATAGGATCCTTTAGTACTATAAACACAACTCCAGTTATTTTACAGCAGTTAACAAATGTGTTTGTTTGTTTGTTTGTTTGTTTGTTTGTTTTTGCAACTGTGCTGGCATTCTGGTATCATTAACAGCAGTGTTGACATGAACCAGGCCCAGAATGCCCAACCAACCAGCTGCTGGCTGCTGTTCTCCCGACAGTGGAACACTTACCTGGGTACAAGGCAACCTAGGCAGTTGCCTACGGCTGGGGGCAAATTTCAACATGTGTTTTGATTTTCTTTTTTCATTCAAAATATTTAATTCTCTGTTTGATTGCTTCTTTGACATATGCACTCCTTAGATGTGTTATTTAGTTTCCATATTTTAGGAATTTTCAAGAGATCTCTGTGTTATTGAATTCTAATTTAATTCTAAATTTCTCATAGAACATACATACCTTGCATGATTTGAATTTTTACTGTGTTACAGCTTTTCTGGCCCAAGTTATGTCTTTATAAAAGATCCATGTGTGGTTGAAAAGAATGGATTTTCCTATACATGTGGATAATTTTGTTCAACTTTCCCGTGTCCTCGTTGATATTATGTCTGCTTATCCCACCAATTATTGAGAAGAGGGGTACAAACATCTCTGAAAATATGTGTGGATTTGTCTGTCTTCTTGTTTCAATACATTTTGTTTCATGAGTTTTAAAGCTCTGTTAGGTACACAAACATTCGGGATTATTTTGTCCTGTTGGTTGACTTTTTTGTTTGTGTTTTTAATTTATCAAACATTTTTATCATTTTCCATTATCATGTATCCCCCTTATACCCTCTTCCACCTCCCCCTCTTCCCCCACAATCTCTGCACTGTTGTCCATGAGTCCTTTTTCTTTTTTTTGCTCAATCTCCTCATCCCAGAGCTGTCTGCTTACTCTCTATTTATGAGTCAGTCTCTATTTTGCTTGTTAGTTCCGTTTGTACATTAAATTCCATGTATGAATGAAATCATGATATTTGTCTTTCTCTGACTGGCATATTTCACTTAGCATAATGTTTTCCAGGTCCATCCATGTAGTTGCAAAGGGTAAAAAAAATTTTTTTACAGCAGAGTACTATTGCACTGTGTAAATGTACCACAGTTGTTTTATCCACACATTCACTCATGGACATTGAGCAGCTTCCAAATCTCAGCTATTGTAAACTGCTACAATGAACGTAGTAGTTCTTCTTCTGAATCAGTGTTTTGGGTGTCTTTGGATAAATTCCCAGAAGTGGAATCTCTGGGTCAAAAGGCAGTTCCAGTTTTAGTTTATAAGGTGTCTCCATACTGCTTCCCACAGTGGCTGTACCAGTCTGCATTCCCACCAGCAGTGCAAAGGGGTTCCCTGTTCTCCATGTCCTCACCAGCACTTGTTTTGTTGATGTATTGATGGTGGCCATTCTGGCCAGGGTGAGGTGATATCTCATTGTGGTTTTAATTTGCATCTCTCTGATGATTAATGATGTCAAGCATCTTTACGCTTGTCTATGAGCCATCTGTATGTGCTCTTGGGAGAAGTGTCTATTCAGGTCCTTTTCCCATTTTTTAGTTGGATTGTTTTTGGTGTTAAGTTTTATAAGTTCTTTATAAATTTTGGTTATTAACTGCTTATCAGATGTATCAGGAAATATGTTCTGCCATTTAGAGGGTTGTCTTTATTTTATTGATGGTTCCTTTGCTATGCAAACCCTTTTTATTTTGATATAGTCCCATTTGTTTATTTTTTGTTTGTTTCTCTTGCCTGAGGATATATATCAGAAAAAAATATTGCCACAAGCAATGTCTGTGATTTTACAGTGTATGTTTTCTTTGAGGATTTTTATGGTTTCAAGTCTAACATTAAGTCTTCAATTCATTTTGAATTTATTCTTGTGTATGTTGCAAGAAAGTGGTCTAGTTTCATTTTTCTGCACATACCTGTTCAACTTTTCCCAACACCAATTATTGAATAAACTGTATTTAGTTCATTGTATTTGCTTGCTTCCTCTGTCAAATATTAATTGACTATAAAGGCATGTGTTCATTTCTGAGCTCTCTATTCTGTTCCATTGATCTATGTATCTGTTTTTCTGCTAGTACCAGGCTGATTTGATTACTATGGCCTTAGTATAGTTTGATATTAGGTAGCATGATCCCCCCCAAACTTGGTTCTTCTTTTTCAAGAGCACTGTTGCTATTTGGAGTCTTTCCTGATTCCATATAAATTTTTGAAATTTTGAATTCTGTGAAATAAGTCATTGGTATCTTGTTAGGAATTGCATTGAATCTGTAGATTGTTTTGGTAATATGGACATTTTAATGGTGTTAATTCTTCTTATCCATGAACTTGGTATGTGCTTCCACTTACTTGTATCTTCTTCAGTTTCTTTCCCAGTGTCTTATAATTTTCCAAGTATAGGTTTTTCACATCCTTGGTTGAATTTATTCCTAG